TGGGTCCTGTGTTTAGCACTATTCAACCTTCTAAATCTCTGATCATTCCTGAACTTTTTTTGACAATATACCTACACAGGTTACACAGAGGGAACAGCTGAACCGTTGTAGAAGGTTTGTAAAGGCTGAGTTTTATTGTCGTCAATATTTCAAGAATGTCGTTCGACATGTCCTTTCTGAAATGCTCACAGCTGAATGGAATCTACCTTTGTTTCCCTCCAACACACGTGAGCAGTCGGAAGCGGGGCAGTGAGTGAGTGAGTGAGTTTAGTTTAGTTTTACTCCTCTTTTAGCAATGTCACGGCTGGGGACACCAGAAATGTCAAGCGGGTAAGAACTGTCGGGTAGGCTGGTGGTTAAAGCATTTGCATGTCTCACCAGAGACCATATTATAATTATATGGTCTCTGGTCTCACCGATTACCGGGTTCGAGTCCAACTTCCATGTGTGACTGGCGTTATGTCGTGTCTCTGCTTATATGCCTGGATAATTGTTTGGGAAAGGTTCACCCAATGTAATTATGTTTTCAAATACAAATAATATTTTGCGTGGGCCATTGCCCTTGCGAATATGTGATGCGGCCTTAAGCAAGACTCACTTGCTCAATCCACTGCATCTTGGTTTTGTGAATGAGATTATTTTTACGCCTCTTTAGCAATATTCCAGCAATATCACGGCGGGGACACCAGAAATGGGGGTTTGGGGGGGTTTAGCCTAGTGGTTAAAGCGTTCGTTCGTCACGCCGAAGGCCCGGGTTCGATTCCCCACATGGGCACAATGTGTGAAGCCCATTTCTGGTGTCCCCCGCCGTGATGTTGCTGGAATATTGCTAAAAGCGGCGTAAAACCAAACAGTCAGTCAGTCAGTCAGTCGTGCTTAAAGTGTTCACTTGTCACGCTGGAGGCCCGGGTTCGATTCCCAAAATGGGTACAATTTGTGAAACCCATTTCTGGTGTCCCTGTGATATTGCTAAAAGCGGCGTAAAACTAGACTCACTCACCTTAATTGTTGAGCAGAGGCTACATCTACACTGCCTTGCTGTCTCTGAGCTGTATTATTCCCCCCTTCCACCCAGCCCTATATGTTATCAACAGGCTCTAATCGAATCATGTCTACATTCTACTCGGGTTTCAATGCCCAACAGAAAGCGGCGCTTTTTCAATTTAACTAGAATTAACTGATTTTAAGAAAGTTATCTAGTTTCAGAGACCAATAGTCTAATACTGCGGCCAACTGAACTACTGTTTTAAACAATGTGAACCAAACCATAGTAGCTTCACTCAACCACCCATACTCCCCTCTCTCATACTGACTGACTGACTTAGGTTTTACGCCGCTTTTAGCAATATTCCAGCAACATCACGGCGGGGGACATCAGAAATGGGCTTCACACATTGTACCCATGTGGGGATTCGAACCCCGGGTCTTCGGCGTGACGAGCCAACGCTTTAACCACTAGGCTACCCCTTCTCTCATAGACAAACGGCACTGAGAGAAACATACTTAACTATAACCTACGCCATAGACACACGGCACTGAGAGAAACATACTTAACTATAACCTACGCCAAAGCTTCAACTCCTTCACAAGACCAACATATATGTACTTGGTCCAGGCTCAACCTATTTCTTACCTCAACCTTACTTCACAAACGAAGTAAAAGATCACCCAATTCCTTCATATAAACATAGTTTATTAACCTGAAATGACATGACGGATTAAATATAACAATATGAAAGAATCGGGTTTTTAAAAGTGTACATATCTACATCCATAACACTAAACGATTTAAATAACTCTGTCTGTACATATCTCTACCCTTTGTCTGCCTCTTGTTGAACTTTTTTGTAATATACACTTGTAACTATGTGGAGAGGGCTTATTTAAGTTGGATAACTTGTGCCCAATCCGTTTCTTAATTGAATAAAATATGTTTCAATCAAAATCGGGTGTTCTGTAACTTCCCACGAATAGAAAATATAATTGAAACGTAGTTCAAAGTATCAGGATATATCTATTCAATAACGTTGAGAAGATCAAAGGCGGTGTTTTTTTAAAAACAAATTAAAACATGGCCTGATGTGTGCAAGAATTCCTCAATCAATAAACATACGAATGCTGCACTTCGTAGTTAGGTAAAGGTTAGCCTATCCAGAACTGATTTAGGAAAATCGATAACGAAATGTCCTAATTAGAATAGAACATACCTGGACAGGTAAATGTAGCCGGATACAGGGGGTTGTTCTGGAACGCAGAGACGGGTGTATGTAGTGAAAGTTACGTTTAGTTTGGGGACAGACTATACAAACGGCTGTAGCAGGCATAGTGCTGAAAAGGCCTGTATTGTCGAGGTATGACTTTAACAAATACCGGTTTATAGAGTAAGTGAGTGAGTGAGTTAAGTTTAACGCCGCTCTCAACAATATTCCAGCTATATGGCGGCGGTCTGTAAATAATGGACCAGACAATCCAGTGATCAACAGCATGAGCATCGATCTGCGCAATTGGGAACCGATGACATGTGTCAACCAAGCCAGCGAGCTTGCCCACCCGATCCCGTTAGTCGCCTCTTACGACAAGCATGGGTTACTGAAGGCTCATTCTAACCCGGACCTTCACGGGTCGGTTTATAGAGGTTAACGGAATACATAGTACTTGTTAGTGTATGATGGTGTGTGTTCGTGAGTGAGTTAAGGTGGACCCAATATGTTTTCTGAACATTTCAGCAAATGAAATTTAAACAATTACGGAATTTAGCATTAAAGTCCTCCTTTGAAATTTGTGTGATCTCACAGTGACAGGTCCGATTTTACCCATTCCCTACCGACTGTGACTTCTCCTTACCCAAACAACGCACTTTAGCAGCAAGCTACCCTGGTCTGTGTGGCAAGTGGTTTGATGTGTACATACAGGATCGATCAGTTTGTACAGACGTGTAGAAAGTGTAGTCAGTGCCATATTCATCGATTATAAATTTTCAGTTATGAATACATTAAGTTCAGTTAATTCTGTTTTGAGTGTGCATGTACATACTACTTAACCTTTGACATGGCTATATCTTAGTCAAATATGAAATAAATGAATGGTAGGGCTATTTCCTGGTCCCAGCTTAGGTGGGGTAGCCTAGTGGTTAAAGCGTCCCTCGTCAAGCTGAAGACCCGGTTCGATTCCCCTCATGGGTACAATGTGCGAAGCCCATATTGCTGGAATATTGCTAAAAGCGGCGTCAAACTAAACTCACTCATTCTCTAATTGTCCCATACCAAGCAGCTCAGTGATTGGCGAAGTTAACACCAATTGTTAAACTGCACGGTTTGTTCACCCTTTCTATCAACATGCGACAGAACTACTCAGGTCAGCGAAGGGATGAGTCGAGATAAAGTTAGTTAAATTCCCATTATCTATGTATTGTATTGTGTTGTATTAACATAATACAGGATGTTTGCATTGTCTCTTTGAGTAAGCTAATTGTATGTGATAAAAGATAGAGACAGGTTATGACTGATTAATTCAATATTTACAAGGGTCGCTAAATGTGGCATGCATCGCAAACTGTTGCGCCAGATGCTATAGCAAATCCCACTAATGCAGCGTAAAATAATACTCTCACCTTATAACTATACTCTTAAACTTCATTTTAATTTACGATTGAAGAATTGGGAGGTAAATCGGACTCAGTTAATGTTGATATGATGATAATGAATGTCTTGAGAGTACATCACTACTTGCACGTCCTTACACCATAGTCGTTTGTACAGTAATCGCTTTTGAAAGATGATTGGTGTATGATGTGAAATTTGCATGTGTGCGATTTTCATTTTAAAAAAATTATTTTAAAAAACCCAGCTAGAAACAAACACTAACAACTGTCCGATGCAAGAAGATTGTCAAAATTAATGGTCTACAGTGATTGATCGACGTTCTTGAAAACCGTCAATGGGGCTACTGCGTTGTGTACGTGCATCACATGTGTTGTGTTGTGGTGATAAAGAGAAATGGTGGTGTGTTCATAAGATGTATGTCATTGAAAAGTTTGTTAACGCTTATACTTCCTATCCAAATTGAAATTTCGGGTTCCCCTACTTTTTTAAGAGTATGCATTAAGTAAGGATGGCAGACCGTTTCGACATATACGAAAGATGTTCTGACTATTGCGGCGTAAAACAACACTCACCCGACTGAAAACCTGGCTGTTAGCAGAAAACAAGTACAATCCCCAGTCATACACAAGCTAATATTTGGTTTTCTATAGCCTCATATGCCTTTACACGAAGACCGCCTCCGTGGTTAGAGCGGCCGCCCGGAGAGCGGAAGGTCGCGGGTTCGATCCCCGACCGCGTCATACCAAAAGACGTTAAAATGTGGTACTTGTTGGTCCCTGCCTGGCGCTCGGCATTAATGGGTACAACAAGGACTGGTTGGCTAGGAGTCAGTATACTGCGTCTGAGTGGGGTATTCATGCTTCACTGCGGCATGGTATCTCACTGGGCTAGCACTATAAAACCAGCTTCAGTCTGGGCTAGTACAAGCAGCCGCACATACACATACACACGCACGCACGTCGTCATATGAGCGAAATATTCTCAAGCACGGTGTTAAACCCAATTCCACCTCACCTCACCTCACCTTTACACGACCCAGTGTGACATATGCCAACAGCACGCGTGTTTCAGAAAAGGTAAACTAGAAATTAATTCACCCCACGAATCTACATTTAATTGAACACACCCGTCCTAGGTCAGTTTAAGATCTAACCTTGTCGTCCATGTATAATATTGTGCCAGACTTTAAACCGCTTTCGGCTTTTGAAACCCGACCCCTTCTTGTGTGGTGTACATAATTTGAGCGGGTATTGGTCTATTGAAACCCACCGGTGCGATTCATCTGTGGAGGCTTATGGTGCCGTTACACACAGCCCATAGCGAACCACTGCTTGGCAAGTACATGTCTTGCTGAAACGACATAAATTTCTCGGAAATCGATAAATATTATAAACCTACCTGTAATATTGAATATCTGTTTAGTATATGGTCCGTCAGTCCCTCATAGCTGACTGTGTTTCACCTGAGTGTCTGTTACCTGGCTCGTTCTCTCACCTGTGTTTCTAAGGACGCCGCGCAGACCTGTTTGCGGCAGCTATCCCACAATTCAACACAGGGATTAAATACACCGGTTATTGTGACGGGGCGCGCTCCGCAAAGCAAATGTCGTGTTGCTTTGATATTGTCGCTCGCGACGAGTATCGGGAATATGATAGAAATGTCTTTGTTTCCATAGAAACGCTGAAGCTGAAGGCCCATTAACCCATTGACATATTAGAGAAATGTAGCATTAGGTTGTTGCTGATATTTATGAGAAATGATCTTTTTATTGGCATCCTGTTAAAGTGCAGAAATTATGCAATGCCGTGTTTCTGTTTGGTTGTTTATTGTCTCAACCCTGCTTCATTCCATTCTCACGCATGTCTTTTTCCCCTTTTTAATTTTATTCTACAAATCCCTTTTTTCTAATGTTCTTTGAATTTCTCTTTATTGTTCTTTATCGTCATGCTTCTGAAGGGAGCGGATTGCCAAGATAGGATGTGCGGAGTTACGCCCCTTAGGAGCTCTATCATTCTGTGATCACCAGTTCGAATCCTGAGTTCGAATGTGTTTGTATCATGCCATGCCCGCGACTTTGACAAAGAAACTACTTGCAATCTGAAATCTGAAATATCTATGTTTCATTACATTACACGACAGACATAATTTGATACAACTATTACACATGCAAAAAACATTTCAGAGAGTTGAGATATCCTGCCCACAAACCAGTAATGCGTTAAACACTCGTCACTCCGTGGGTCCGGGTTCGATTCCTCACATGCATGGGTATACCTACAAGGTGTGAAGCCCATTTCTGGTGTGCCCCGCCGTGATGTTGCTGGAATATTGCTAAAAGCGGTATTAAGCTCACTCACTCACTCACTCTTGTTCTTCAGAGTTGCTAAACATGACAGGGAATGGTATTATCGCAGGACCGGCAAAAGCTTTTTACATACGCGTACTAAACAGTTTGATAAAAAACCTGAAGTTTTACCTATACTGAAGCATAAACCAGGCAGCAGAGTCGAAAGCAGTTGAATTGTGATCTGATTGAAGTCAACATTGAGCTCAAATAGCGCCATGATCTTCTTGGCCTAGTTGCCGCCTCCGTGGTGTAGTGGTTAGAGCGTCCGCCCGGAGAGCGGAAGGTCGAGGGTTCGATCCCCGACCGCGTCATACCAAAAGACGTTAAAATATGGTACTTGTTGGTCCCTGCCTGGCGCTCTGCATTAATGGGTACAACAAGGACTGGTCGGCTCGGAGTCAGTATAATGTGTCTGAGTGGGGTATTCATGCTTCACTGCGGCATGGTATCTCTAGCACTATAAAACCAGCTTAAGTCTGGGCTAGTACAAGCAGCCGCACATACACATACACACGCATGTACGTCGTCATATGAGCGAAATATTCTCAAGCACGACGTTAAACCCAATTTCACCTCACCTCACCTCACCTCACCTGGCCTAGTTTCCAGTACTCCCCGCTGGTCAAACTGCTGTTTCAGATGCCCCCTAGCTTAGTTGATGTTTTCACTGTGCCGCCACAACGTTGGACGTTGTTCATACTGTCAACCACTGGTTTGATAATATACCGATCGCCGTGTTTAATGTGGAACATTGCGGCGGCCTGTTCATCCTGTTTCTCAGTATTCATGTCGTAGTGCCTGGCCTTGCCCATCTTCATCGGTTTGATTCTGCGATGGACTGCAGAGTTATGTCCCTTAGATGTGTTCCCACTTCAGCGTATTTAATCCCTGCGCTTAATAACGGAAAAGGGCCCTTCTCGTTCACAAATAAAAAACCCATAATTAAGCCCAGGGCTTAAATTCATGGAAATGCTTGTAACTGTAGAAAATGATTCTAAGACACGATAAAATGGAATGAACTTTGACATAACCGGCATAATACAGAAACCCGAACCTTAGACAATCATCCAAGAACTGTCTTAAACCTCAACTTGAAAGACACCCCCTCTTTCATATTTACATACTTTACTGTTCTTGAGGAACATGTCCTATGTTATTGTCATATTTTATTGCGACTGCGCGTGAGTCATATAGATTGAGGTTGTCTATATGGGAATAGAGTACCTGACCTCTCTTCGGACTCCATGTAAACATGAAAACTCAGTAACTAACGTGTACTACAAACGTTATATATGCTGACGTTTGCCATGTGCTGTTGCAAAAGGACGTCACTTTAAACAATAACATCTGAAATCTTATTTTAGGCCCATGGACTTATCCCGTTATTAAGCCCATGGACGTAATTATGAGTGGGCTTAAATACGGGAAATCCCAGTAAAACTGTTGCATCGGATCGAGACTCGTCCTGATATTCTCCATTGGTTGTATCCAAAATAATCGTGCGCGTCTGTTTTAACAAAGTAGTAAACATGCAACTCACTCACTCACTCACTCGCAATCAGTCAGTAACTCACTCACAAATACTCGCTCAGTCACATACACCCTCTCTGTTTCATGCCTCCCGACCTTTTCTTCTTTCTTTCAAATATAATTCTCTTTCTCTTCATCCTGGTTATCTGTTCTCCCTTTTCTCACTCGGTAACAATTCGCTCGTCATGTCGAAGACCCGGGTTCGATTCCCCAAATAGGTACAATGTGTGAAGGCCATTTCTGGCGTCCCTCGCCGCGATGTTGCTGGAATATTGCTAAAAGCGGCGTAAAATCATACTCACTCACTCACTCTCGGTAATAAATCTGTTTTGTTTTCTGTCCATCCTTACGTTTCTATCTTGCACTTTTCTCTTTCTCTCTCACCGTACCAAGTCGTGGGTTCTACCAACTTAAACCCCCTTTACATCGGGCTTCCTGGAAATACAGGTTAAAGAGATTTTAAACCTAACCCACTAACTCACTTTCTACATTTTCCGTGTTTCTCTTTCTCTCTCACCGTACCAAGTCGTGGGTTCTACCAACTTAAACCCCCTTTACATCGGGCTTCCTGGAAATACAGGTTAAAGAGATTTTAAACCTAACCCACTAACTCAATTTCTACATTTTCCATTTTTCTCCGTGAGTTATTTTCTCTCCTTCTTTCATTCCTGTCTTCCATACAAACCCTCTTGCCCCTTGCTTCAAACGTTTGTCTACATCATTTGGCATCACCCCCACCTGCGCGTACCCTATCCCACCATACCGATGAAAAACAAACAAACCCTTTCAACTTTCATCTACACCAATTTGACAGTTATTGTCTTAACTATTTCTGTTCCAAGTAAATTAGGCATTACCATCGATTCCTTCACCGAACTTTCCACGAGCCTCTGATATACATCTTGTCCTCACATCGAGCAGCAGGGGAACACCGCCATCATTGGTCCTGTTGTCATGGTAACCATCATTCCATTATAAATCTACGTTTCCTATCCGTTCAGCTAGGTTCTTTCCTTCAAATCAATGCTGCTGAAGGGAAAACCGGGCACACACTCACAACTCGGGCCATTAGCCCGAAGGAAAAGTAATCGTTCCTTCTAAAGAGGGAGATTCATCTTCAATGTAATAAACCATCACGCTAGTCTGATCAAATGAAATAGTCCTTAATAACTTCAATTTTAATCTGTGTAAATGCGGACATCTATCAGCTTCAAAGGCGTCTCTTTAGACGCCGAAATCACCAGGAAGTTTAGGAACAATAAAAATGAAAATGCGGTTGTAATGCTCCGAATTTATTAAGTTAGTCAATCACAGATCCTCCCTGAGAGGTACGGAATCGGAACAAGGCTTTATTAGATCGAGATGAATCAGCCTTGCTACTCACGTGTGTCTATTTTATTTTCAAAATGAATTTTTGATGGTAACGTAAACAGTATGTTAGTGTGTACTCGAAACACTATACTGTGTTGCACTGTGTGGCCTGATGGTTTTGTTTATTTGTTTGGTATTTAACGAATCACTCGGCAACATTCCAGGTGCATGGCGGCGGTCTGTAAATCATCCACCAGACAAGCCAGTGATCAACAACATGGGCATTGATCTACGTAATACGGTGACATATGCCAACCAAGTCGGCGAGCCTCACTACCCCATCCCGTTAATTGCCTCTTACAAACATGGGTTGGCAAATACAAAAAAGTAAATCGATTAAAGAGAAATTAAGATTGCGAATCCTCATAATTTTGCCTTGCCAATTGAACATTCAAATCTCAGAATTTTATTCAACTTAGGATAAAAGTTGTTTAACAAACGATCTTAGTTTCAAATCGCTATTATTGGTTTGTATTACTAGGGGTTATGCACATTAGATGAAACATCGAGAACAAGTAGGGCTGGTCTAAGTTAACGCTCATCACGTACAGCACGTGCATTTGTTTCACTGTTCCATCTACTGCGCTTACCCCCTTGTAATACAAACCAATAATAGCGATTTGAATCTATGATCGTTTGTTAAACAACTTTTATCCTAAGTTGAATAAAATTCTGAGATTTAAATGTTCATTTGGCAAGGTAAAATTATGAGGATTCGCAATCTTAATTTCACTTAATTTGATTTACTTTTTTGTTTAAAGTGAAATTCATCGGTACGTTTTCACTGCAAACAGACTATAGATCGACATCTCTATTTTCCTCTTTTCCGTTATCGGCAGATAATGCTTGTCGTGAGAGGCGACTAACGGGGTCGGGAGGTCAGGTCCCCGTTTCACGAAGCTCTCGTACGCCTAAGTTCTCGTAACTTTTCTCGTAGCGTCGTACCTCCTATGTTACAGTATAGGAGGTACGAATGCTACGAGGAAAGTTACGAGATCTTAGGCTTACGAGAGCTTTGAGAAACGGGGCCCTGGCTCGTTGAACTGGTTGATACATTCTATCGTATCCTAATTACGGAGATTTGTGCTCATAATGTCAATCACCGGTTTCGACTATTTACAGTGTGTTGTTTTAAAACTGGTATATTCTGTGTGTCGAGTTAAACAACAAACAAACTTACAACCTGCCTGTTGGTAAATGTGCTCTAATAGTACCCACATGCATACTGTGATTTCACAGGGAGATTTTACGAACGCTGTAGGCCACACAACTTGCCTTCATCGAGTCCC